TCTTGGTTTCAAATGTAATTTCAAACATATGATTAGCTCTATTGTACATCATCCTTCTCTACCCTCCACCTCAATGCTTTATCCAGTGTTAGGAACATTGTAGGTGTTCAATACATTCTGATACTCTGATTTTAAAATATGAAAGAATCATTACATTCCAGACTTTTAAAAAAGATATTCTACAATCCTCAAATTAAATTCATATGTGTACATTCAATCATATAAGACATAGAAATAGGTAAAAGGAAATGAATGTATATACTTAAATCTCCTTTGAGATCCAAAGGTAATTGTAAGTAGTTCAGAGATTAGGGTGCTGAATTGGGAATCTGATGCTAGGCTCTCCTCTAGACTTCCACTAACACAATTTAGAGGGTGATTATTTTCCTTAAAGAAGGAGTCACTTCAAAATTCCTTTAAGTTACTTCTTCATTCATTTTATATGCTTATTTATAGATCCTTAAATTATCATTTGGCCAAGACTGGAGCAAAAGAAACTTCCAGCAAAACTATTATTTCCAATTTAAGAGATTTAGCAATGGAGGAAAAGTATTTCTGAAATCTTACTATGTCAGTGAGAAATTTACTAGCTTACACAGTATGACTTAGGGAACAAAGCTATGGTATTAAACTACCTATAGATAGAGATGTATAGATAAAACCACATTACAGATAAAGAGTTCAGATGGGGGACTCACTTGTGAAAAAGCACCTGGCCAATAAACCCTGTAATAAGGACTCGTGTCCAATCCTCAGCTATAGTAGTAAACTACCTATAGATAGAGATGTATAGATAAAACCACATTACAGATAAAGAGTTCAGATGGGAGACTCACTTGTGAAAAAGCACCTGGCCAATAAACCCTGTAATAAGGACTCGTGTCCAATCCTTGCTGAGTGTTTTTTTTTTTTTTTTTTTTTAAAGATAACTGGTAAGGAGATCTTAACCCTTGACTTGGTGTTGTCAGCACCACGCTCAGCCAGTGAGCAAACTGGCCATCCCTATATAGGATCCGAACCCGCGGCCTTGGTGTTATCAGCACCGCACTCTCCCGAGTGAGCTACGGGCCAGCCCTCTTGCTGAGTGTTTTTTGCAGAAGGCCATATCTCATAGTACCAAGGAAGTATTTTATAGTGGTTAATACTGTCTGGGTGGTCAGGAATCCTTGTTCTGTAGTCTTAGTATGTACATTACCACAGCTAACTATACTCTGGTACATTGTTTAACAGCCCTAGATTTTGCCTTCTATGAAATTAGAATGTTGGATAGATTAGATCTTGCTAAGCTCTGAAAGTCTGTCTAAATTACTTAATATGCTTAATGTGCTTGGTGGCTGTTTCTGAATTTGAGATGAGCTGGTAAACTTTTTCAATCTAAAATTTTAAAAATTCAGTGTAAAATGTTTTGGATTACCTAACTCCTTATTCTTGCTGGAGTACTACACCCTGGGTATCATTTAGCCTTATGGGAATACCTGGTGGTGCATAGTCTGTTATCCTTATCGAAAAGACATTAAGTCCTTTGAATCACTTTTGAAGGTTCTGCTCTCAGCCCCAGCGCTTGACTTCTAGTTGTGACAAACTTGTACCAGCGATGCAGCTAGAAACACAGACAAAAGCAATTGCAGATTTCAGTCATAAAAACAGGAACAGCTGAAATATAAGCAATCCTTTTATTTATTTAAAACTACTTACAAGCTTTACTATAACATAAAAGAACACTAGGTTTTTTTGGTTGCATGATTAAGGATGTAAAAAAATTGAAAAGAGCAGATTTCTTTTGGAATTTAAAATCATTAACTAATAAAAATGAATGTAATTTGGGTAGAAAGGATGAAGAGAAAAGAAAAAAGTGATTATAAAAAATTTTAATGCAAAAATTATTTTCAAGAGATAACAAGCTAAAAGTCTCACAGGAATTTAGATCCCTCTTTTCCTGCCCCATACCCCTCTACCTTTTTTTTTTTTTTTTTTTTTTTGGCAGCAGGCTGGTATGGGGATCCAAACTCTTGACCTCCACTACCATTTTTTTCTTTTTTTGGTATATTAGCCTTTTTAAAGCTTTTTTGAATGAGATGTAACAAGAATGGAGTTGCGAGTACTAATGTGTGAATGATTGCTATTAAAAGTTATTCTACCTAAAATCAGTTTTACTCAGAACTTGGACATCCGCCTAATAGTGTTGCGTAAAACTACAATTCTAAGTCAGCCTAGAAGCTGTAGCATTAGCACTAAAAATTAGATACAGTACTTGTTCAGCTTCTACCTCTATCAGGGGAAGATAGGAGTACAGACAGACATGGAGACAGTGGAATTCCAACCCAGGTCTGTCTGATTCAGAGTCCTTATTCTCTCCAATACATCATGATGCCTTCTTCCAGAGTGAGCCCTTTAATGAGTGCATGTTGAAATGAAATCACTAATTTAGAAAAAGTCAAAATTCTCCTCAATAATGTATCCTTGAGATTACGGAGTACCTGTGCTATTGCTGACTCTCAGTACTTAATACAGTGCCTGGTACACCAAAGGTGCTTAATAAGTATTTGTTGAATGAATACATGTGCATTAAAATGCTATAGATGCTCTTATTTGTTTTAGTGTTTTGTTAACACAGAGTATATGTATTTTTGCTAATTTAATTGAATTGTGACTATAGCTACAGATGTGTCTGTCATATTGGTCTTCTATGTATTAATTTTGGTGGCTGACCATAAAACTGCTTTTCATTCAGATATGAAGGGGTCCTTGGAACTTTTAAGCTACATAAAGTGGGCTTGGGTCAACATTTTTGTGTTTTTTTTTTGTTTTTTTTTTTTTCACCTTTTGAAAGAGGTTGTGGTGGTGGTGTCTGGATTTGTTTTACATTATTATAATTGTAACATAATTTTGTATACTGCTTATTTATTTGACTCCCCATTGTGAAAATTTTTCCCACTTCTATAGTCTGCATTTATAAATACAATTTTTAAAGGCCACATGACAGTGAATTCTAGGGAGTAGATTTACCTTAGTTTCCTTAACAACTCCCTTACTACAAGGCTGAATTCAAATTATAAATAACACATTGATGACTATATTTGTGTATACATTGCATTTTGTATTTAGGTACATGCTGAAGATGATTCCTCACAGTTTTAGTACAGATATTTGAGTAACAGAGGTTTGAAATATTGTTTGTACTTGAAACACTTGATCTTGCTTCCAGAAAAGGTACAGTGGTTGCAATCTGAAGAAGGCAGGAGGTCTCATCATAAGCCACCTTCCTTTCACCAGACCCACATCCCTGACTATGAAACTCCATGTCCTTAGGCAGGGAAATAGGAAGGAGGAGGCAGGATGGGCCTGTACGTAGTAAAGAAAAGGGGTATGTCATCATATTTGATTTGTGAGGAACAGATAAAAAGCAAGTAGAATTAAGTAAACTTAGATACTCTCTTAATTACTACTGCAGGGATTGAAGAGTTTTGGAACTGAAGAATGAGCATTTTATTTCTCTGAATAGCTTGTTACATGTTCTTTTTAAGTTCAGTCAAATTGCCTAGGAACTTGTTTTTAAGCAGAAGATAGATTCTGAAACCTTATGTATACAGATTAAAAATTGAGGCTAGAATTGGATCTTATTTTAGCTTTATCATATAACAGATAGGACTTCTAGTGCTTTTAGTATTTTCCTCTCCTTTATTCAAAGTCAACTCTCTACATTAAAAATACAGTGTCCACCAGTGCGGTTAAGTGAAGAAAACTAGTTGCAGAAAGATATATGTGTAGTGTGATATAATTTAGGTTAAAAAACACAAAAAATAGCAAAACTATGTGCCTAGTACATAGTAGGTACTCAATATGTTGACTATGTATGTATGCATATAAACAGATCCAGAGAGTTTAGAGGGGTTACCTGTGGGAAAAGTTATGCGACCTGAGGTGTGTTTTTATTCCATATACTTCTGTGCTTGAATTTTTGTGATGAGCATGTGTTACTTTTGTATGTTTTTTCCTAACACTTAAAAAAAGGAAGAAAAATTTATAGTTTAAGGATAGATACCTCCTTCCCAAATAAATCCCTGCTTCTTTTTACCCTAAAGTGTATGCCAAGCAATGTGAGACATAGTCTAACTCTATAGAATTATTCCTTCTCCAGTCATTCAGGAAAAAAGAAAGGAATTGATCAAACCTATTTGTTTGGTGCCATTTCCATATAATCTAGTAAGGTTTTTTAAATAGAATTTTTTTCCTATGGAAAATTTCAAACATAAATGATTTCAAACATAAATGAAAATAGAATTATGCCTGTCTCCCAGCTTCAATAGTTATCAACACATGGCCAATCTTGTATCATCTATAGCCCCCACACTCACTCCATTTATTTTGAAGCATATCTCATATATCATCTATAAATACTCCAGTATGTATATCTAAAAGGACTTTTAACATAACCAAAATACCCTTATCACACTTAAAAAATGAGCAATAGTTCCTTCATATCAGTGATCTAAGAAGTTTTTAATACTCTACAATCTAGTTAGTAACTTTCAGTTTGAGTTGCTATTTACTTTCATTGTTCATATCCTTCAAGTACTTTTATTTTATTTATTTATTTTTTGTGTGGCTGGCATGTAAGGGTACCTAAACCCCTGACCTTGGTGTTATTAGCACCACACTCTTAAACAAGGGAGCTAACTGGTGAGCCCTCCAAGTATTTTTAAATTAATATCTTTTTCCTTCCAAATTTAGTATTCATTTTTTTCCCCTAGAGTTGTATTAAAACCAAAATTATGGTTTTTTTCTTTTGACACCTTTGTTCAATATGAGAAACCTAAATGTATCTTCAAATGTAAAAAATGATTCAGGTATATGTTGAGTTTCACTACATTAGAATAGAAAGTTACTCATACTTTGATTGTAATAGCAAAGTCACACAAGTCAAATCATGATAAAAATTATTCTTTTTTCAAGTGCTTTTCTGATATCTTGGCTGACTTTAATATTTTTGTTTTACATAGGTCTCTCATTAATAGAAGATGGCAAAGCCCAGCCACAGCAGCTACGTCCTTCAGCAGCTAAACAACCAAAGGGAATGGGGTTTTCTCTGTGACTGTTGTATTGCAATTGATGACATTTACTTTCAAGCACACAAAGCAGTTCTAGCTGCCTGTAGCTCCTATTTTAGAATGTTTTTCATGAACCATCAGCATAGTACTGCACAACTGAATCTCAGCAACATGAAAATTAGTGCCGAGTGTTTTGATCTCATTTTGCAATTTATGTATTTAGGAAAAATTATGACAGCTCCCTCCAGTTTTGAACAGTTTAAAGTGGCAATGAACTACCTACAGCTGTACAATGTTCCTGACTGCTTAGAAGACATACAGGATGCAGATTGTTCTAGTTCAAAATGTTCATCTTCTGCTTCCAGCAAACAGAACAGCAAAATGATATTTGGGGTAAGAATGTATGAAGACACTGTGGCTAGAAATGGCAATGAGGCCAACAGGTGGTGTGCAGAGCCAAGTTCAACAGTAAATACACCACACAATAGAGAGCCTGATGAAGAGTCTTTACAATTAGGTAATTTTCCTGAACCACTGTTTGATGTATGTAAAAAAAGTTCTGTGTCCAAATTATCTACTTCAAAAGAACGTGTGTCACGACGCTTTGGACGGAGTTTTACCTGTGATAGCTGTGGATTTGGCTTTAGCTGTGAAAAATTATTAGATGAGCATGTGCTAACCTGTACGAACAGACATTCATACCAAAACACAAGATCTTACCACAGAATAGTAGATATTAGAGATGGAAAAGATAGTAACATCAAAGCTGAATTTGGTGAAAAGGATTCTTCCAAAACATTTTCTGCACAGACGGACAAATACAGAGGAGACACGAGCCAGGCTGCTGATGATTCAGCTTCAACCACTGGAAGCAGAAAAAGTAGCACAGTGGAGTCTGAAATAGCCAGTGAAGAAAAAAGCAGAGCTGCTGAGAGGAAAAGAATCATTATCAAGATGGAGCCAGAAGATATTCCTACAGATGAACTGAAAGACTTTAACATTATTAAAGTTACTGATAAAGACTGTAATGAATCCACTGACAATGATGAATTAGAAGATGAACCTGAAGAGCCATTTTATAGATATTACGTTGAAGAAGATGTTGGCATTAAAAAAAGTGGTAGGAAAACTCTAAAACCTCGGATGTCAATAAATGCTGATGAAAGAGGTGGTTTAGAAAACATGAGGCCTGCTAACAACAGTAGTCCAGTACAAGAGGATACTGAAAATGCTTCTTGTGAGCTGTGTGGACTCACAATAACTGAGGAGGATCTGTCATCTCATTACTTAGCCAAACACATTGAAAATATCTGTGCATGTGGGAAATGTGGACAAATACTTGTCAAGGGTAGACAACTTCAGGAACATGCTCAAAGATGTGGAGAACCCCAAGATCTGACAATGAATGGATTAGGAAGTACTGAAGAGAAAATGGACATGGAAGAGAATCCTGATGAGCAGTCTGAAATAAGAGATATGTTTGTTGAAATGTTGGATGATTTTAGGGACAATCATTACCAAATAAACAGTATCCAAAAAAAGCAGTTATTTAAACATTCTGCCTGTCCTTTTCGATGTCCTAATTGTGGCCAGCGTTTTGAAACTGAAAATCTAGTAGTTGAACATATGTCTAGCTGCCTAGATCAAGATATGTTTAAGAATGCCATTATGGAAGAAAATGAAAGAGATCACAGACGAAAACATTTCTGTAACCTATGTGGAAAAGGCTTTTATCAGCGGTGTCACTTAAGAGAACATTATACTGTTCATACTAAGGAGAAACAGTTTGTCTGTCAGACATGTGGAAAGCAGTTTTTAAGAGAGCGTCAGTTGCGACTGCACAATGATATGCACAAAGGCATGGCCAGGTATGTCTGTTCCATTTGTGATCAAGGAAACTTCAGAAAACATGACCATGTACGGCATATGATTTCTCATTTATCTGCTGGTGAGACTATATGCCAGGTCTGCTTTCAGATATTCCCAAATAATGAACAGTTGGAGCAGCATATGGATGTTCATCTGTATACATGTGGAATATGTGGAGCAAAATTTAATTTGAGGAAAGATATGAGATCACATTATAATGCCAAGCATTTGAAAAGAACCTAAGTGATTTTCTACTGTACTAATGTTTAGTCGATAGCAGACAAAACACCAAAGCAAAGGATATGAGCTACTTAGAAATTGCTTTTATAAGATGAACTGTTGGAAAAAATTTCACCCCTTTCACCTTTAATGTTTTTGTTTAGGATCTTAAGTATCTACACTTTAGGAGTTAAATGTTTATCATTTTTCTTGTTTCTAATAGAATTCTTTGTTTTTAGTTTTTTCTTAGCTATACTTAAAATTATTTTTAAATGTAGACTACAAGTGGTTGTTACCCCTTCAATGACTATTAAACTTTAGTTTTTTATCAATGAGGTGATGACTTCACTATTTCTATGTGTTTTTTTTTTTTTTTTTTTTTTTTAAAAATTATCCTGTGAAATTTTAAATTCAGCATCATTGGCCATTCCTGTTTAAATTTTAAAAGTTTTAAAAGTAATTTGAAGGTATCCCACTCACTTTTAGCTTTTATTTTTGTCAGTTGAACAATGAGTTAGCTACTGTTTATTCCCCCTTATTGTCAGTGAAATTAATATTCTTAGAATTCTTAAATTGACAAGCTTATTAGGCAAGTTAAGTGCACTGAACCTAACTTTTAAGGTCGACGTGGGCTCAGACTTGGCCTAAAAAAATTGGTGGACCTGAGGAAATTCTTATAAATGAATATTTCCTATAACTGATAAAAATATTATCATTTAATAATGACATTTAAAACTTATATTAAGTATAAATCCGAATGACTTACTCCACTTGAGAAATTAGTGGGATAAAGCCATTTTGTTTGTGATATTAAATTGAACTATGATAGTTAATTAAAGAGATATTTTATATTCATTAAAAATATTTTAATTTAAAATATTCTGATTTCTGAAGTGTGTTAGTTTATCAATTATTTTTGTTTATAAATAGATTTTAATAGCTCTCTAGGAATATGACACCTAAAGGAAAATGATTTTCACCTTTAAAATTACATACTTTTGGAACTTTGAGATTTGAGAAAGCTGCCATGTATATTGATAAATTTAATAAAATAAAGAAATCAATTATAAATCTGGTTGTTCTATAAAAGTAGAGTGCACAAAAAAATGTCTTGTGTTTTATACTAAGATTTGGAAAAAATGTATTGTGGCAAATTGAGTTTATCACCATGCTTTACTATTTTTCTGTAAAGGACTATAAAATTTGAGGATTATAAAATAATCAGAACATATAAATACAAACAGTTTATCATTTTTCAGTTAAAATAGTAGTATTGCTAGTTGTTGCTGACACAGGCTCTATGTCAATTACATGTGAATTAAAACACTGGCAAAACTGACCCAACCATAGACACATCTATTGAATAGGATGCTTTTTAATATGAGTTACTTGCAGTGTAATACCCTTCTTGTAATGAAAGAGATTTTAATTAACTCCTATATTTTAAAATATAATTTTGTGATTATGAACAGTAATTTAATAGCATTGCTCTTTCTGTTTACATCATGTTTTTAAAATATGCAAATCACATTTTTGTATACAATTTGCATAAAAGAACAAGTTGCCAAGAGAACTGACAAACATTGGCTAGTACAGATTTAGTTGGAAGTATTAGAGCGCAGTGTGAGCTCAGAGATTTATAGGGATATATTAAAGTGTTAAGTAAAGATAGGAATAGTACAGGAGCCAGTACAGAATTAAAAAATAATGGGAAGTAGAGAGAGGCAGGGAAATATACAAAACGATAAATAAGAAGTCAGGAATTTTTTTAAAGCCACATAGTTAACAGAACAGGAAAAGTGATTTGTCTTAGTCGTAGATACAATAGCTTATCAAGTAATTAAATCTGAAATGCAACTTAAAATGAAATATGGTGTATGTATTACTGATAGGAACCTGGCGAACCGAAGTTCTAACCCAGAGACCATCAGAGAGTACAATAGTTTAAAGAGATAATATAAACTCAAACCAAATTTCCAAACTATATAGTATCTTAATAGACATAATTTTCTTTGGGATTACGTTTTTCCATGACCCTCACCAACATTTCTGTTGCAGTAGCTTTCCTAACATTAAAGAACAGGGCTTTTTCTAAATACAACCATTCTTGGGCTGGCCAGTTAGTACAGCTGGTTAGAGTGCCATGTAATCCCAAGATCAAGGGTTCGGATCATCATACTGGCCAGCTGCCCCCCAAATTTTCTTTCTTTCTTTTTTTTTTTTCCTTTTTGTCTTTTTTCGTGACCGGCAACGGGATCACAACCCTCGGTGTCGCGCCCGCACCGCGCTCAACCAGTGAGCAGACCAGTCTCTATATGGGATCCGAACCCTCGGCGGGAGCGCCGCCACACTCCCAAGCGCAGCACTCTACCGAGTGCGCCACCAGGCCGGCCCCAAATTTTCTTTTTAAATAAATAAATACTATTACTCTTGAAGAAAGGATTATCTATTCCATTAGAAAGGGTTTAATTCAGTGCTTTGACATGTACTAACAACCAACAATTAGCAAGCAAATATAAAAACATTAAACATATCTCTAATATGTGATTGAGATGTTTATAGTTTCACTAAGCCACACCTCATGTTTTTTCCTAGTTTCATGTTACACAGGACACACATTTTTAGAACTAGGTACAGTGAAACATAGGCTTCTCTAGTATGTACGTTTTTCCTTACCAAGGCAAAGAGTTCATTTACAGGCTACTTGCCTTTTAAAATTAGAGAAAATGAAAAATAATCTAATACCTCTCTCCAAAACACCACTCCATCCTAATTTCCTCTTATCTCCTTCCTCTCCTGGGTGGAGCTGTAACTCATTGCTATGAATCAGGGTTGAGGAAGATGCCTGCTCATCCTGCCTTTGTAACTTACGTGTTTAGGCTCCAAACCTAAAAATGAAAGGAAAATCAAGACGGATACAGAGCAATCTTGTTCCTCTGTCTCAAAAATACATTGCGACCCTTTTTCTTAAAAGCCCCTTTGTTCTAAACAGCAAGAAATCCAGAGGAATGGAGTCAGCACCTAACAAGCTGGCCATCAATTACAGTGCAACTTGGATGTTCTGTAATTCTTCAGTAAATGGACTAAGACTCTCAGAGATTAATCAAATACAACCAAGGCAGCAGTAGATTACAACTCAGAAATTTGTCTTAATCTCTCCCATATTTATTTTGTCTTTTTTTCTTGTTTTGTTTTTTATTTGTCTCCCATATTTTTAAAGTAAAAAAATTCAGAGAAATAACCCACATGAGTAGAATGGTACAAGGCAAATGTTTAATATGTAAAGTAACAGTCTGAGTACAGACAAATATCAAATTAGGAGAAAGGATTCCAGAGGGGCTATTTATAAAAATAAAATTATTAAATAAGGACAGTTTGCTAGGGCAGTCAGAACACTAATTAAAAAGAAAAATAGACATGGAAAATCATGTTTTGTTGTAGTTTAAAAAATATAAACAGGATATAAAGGTTGAATAAAAATAAATAGATTTGAAAATTATAGATGAGTATAGATTAAAATAATTTGATTATAATTATAGAATACCTAATGGAACAATCATGAACATGCCAAAGATATGATTAAATACTTTAGATGTTAACTTTTATATTCTAAAAAAGTGGAAAGACAGGCTGGTGGTGGTTGGCAACTTTTTCCCTGGTTAAACAATACTCATTCCTTTATACCAGTAAAGAAACTTCCATATTTAATAGATCTCTGGAAAATCCCCCCCCCCAAACCAGTATAATAGTATTTAAATCAAACATAAAACTTGTCATTGTTGTTAACAAAAAGCTAAATCAGTACCAGAAGAAAAGAACCTGAATGTGTATGTGCGCACTTAGTTGAAAATAAAGAAATTTGATATACATACCTAATTTTAATTGGGTTTTATCATGAAATAAATTTTTAATTTTTTTTTTTTTTTTTTTGCCATTAATCCATTTTGATCAGTTCTTCAACTTTCCTCACCACCCTTATCTCCTTTGTAACAAATTCTTCTCAGTAATAAATGCCAGTGCTGTGCAGGCACCTTAGCATCAACAACTTCTAGGACTGCAGTGTACCAAAAATCTCTGGAGGAATACATCTTTGTAGAATCTCTCCTGTATCCTAGTATATCTCCTATACCTGAGGTGCAGTAAATTGGGGGTGATATGATGAATCCCAGGAACCTGAAGCAAGTAGAGTTATCTTTGGTGTTAAGAACTTTAAGCCACATGCCAGATTTGGAAACCCACGATTCATCCATACAAGGACTCTCACTTAGTAATCCCAGCATCCATTTATTTAGCACTCTCTATACTTTGCAAAGTGCTATACATACGTAATTTTAATTAACCCTCACCACCTGATGAGGTAAGTAGCATACTGATTTTCCAGACGGAGGATTGAAGTTCAGAGAGATTGAGTATTTTTCCTAAAATCACATAAACTATATACTGGAGCTGGAATTTCAACCTAGACCTCTGACTTCTACACGTGTATACTTAACCACTAAGCTACATACTCTACCTACCAAGAAGTACAAAAAAGGGACTTTTCAGCCTAGGAACACATGTGATAAGGCTCCTGTGAGACTGTGTTCCTTGTTCATTTGTCATCTGTTGTGCCTGGTAAGGTGACTGGTGGTAATAGTGAACATGTTGAGTAATGTGAAAATATATGAGTAGAAAACAAAACTTCTTATTTAAATAGGTTATTCATAATGATGTTTTAGACATAAATATTAAATGCTGATATATGTTTTGATTTTTCTTGATTTAAACAAAACATTTAGTGGTATTGTCAGTCATTTGGGGGGGCCCATAGTAGGTGCTCACTTAAAAATTAATTTGAATTCAACTTCCACATTTCTATGTGACTTTTTTCCCCTTTATTTTCCCTATTAATGTACTTTATGTTTTAATCTCTCCCTCCAGTCACCATTTCCTTTCATTGTTTATGAGACTGATGAGTTTTGAAGGACTCAAATCATTTGAAAATAAATGTTCCCAAGAAAAGCAGAACGACAGAATAACCAGTTTTCTCTTTTTGCCTTTACAGATGATGTGGATAAGAAATTCATCATTTCTAATTACCCCCCTACCCCCCAGTTACCATATTGTGATTGATTTGATTAAGATTTATAGAGCAACCTAAGTTTGCTTTAAAACAAAAGTTGGTTATTCTGGGGATTTATAATTCAATTTACTGTTTATTTTTTATTTTATTCAAAATATCTATGGATTTCCAGGGTAAGCTTATAAAGACAGTCTTACTCATAACAGAAATGAAAAATAATTTTAAGAAGTGACAGCTGCACAACCACACTAAGCTAGCAGCAAACTTACACACACACACAGAGTTATTTAATGGTTTAAGTGAAACAATCCCACCCAATCAATATGACTTTAACTTTATATATCTATTACCTTATTTCAATACAACACATTCTGTACTACTGTGTTAATCCTACTACTTTAATGATCTGTCTACCATCTGCCAAATGCTATTTTTCAAATGGAAGAATGAAATGGTGAAGATTCTGTGGACAATGTCTATATAATTATTTAAGTGGCCCACTTTCACTGCTTACTGTCAAACTCAAGGTCATATTACTTGGGTAGAGTCTCACTAAAACCAGATGAAATTTGGCTACTTACACATTTATACCTTGGCAAGGGGCAAAAAGGCAAGGATTAGAATGTGTCTATAAATGACTATTGGTGAATATAAATATAAATGACAACAGCATGTAAATTTATGCTAATTTTGAACCAATTAATACCACTTACATATCTATATGCATGTACTTAGTCGAATTTAGCATTAAGAAGTTTAAATCCTGTTTAAGTTTGTTCCCTTATATTTAAGAGAACCAGATCATTGAGGTCAATCAGTAGTGACAGAATTGTCCATCCTTTCTATTAAAATCCACCACAGATCACTAGAGAGCAAGAAGCCATTATAACTTACCCTACTCATGTGCTGACAAAAAAGGATGGTATGACGATTACAATTCAATAGTTGGCTTGAATTGAATTGTATCAATGTACTAACCGTCACTGTACTAAGTAAGAGATGACAGGAAATTGTAGGACCAAAGAATGGCAAAAATTTAAAAGACATGTTTTGATTTCAGAGGAATATTAATAATTTTATATGAGAAAATTTGCATAATTCTCTGTTTACCAATTTGAAAAAGGATAGAAGTATAGAGCCTATACTTAGAGCCTATAGAGCCTATAGAAGTATAGAGCCCCCACTTAAGCTTTACTTTAAAAGTTACTACGTTGTTTAGGGCTGGCCCGTGGCTCACTTGGGAGAGTATGATGTTGATAACACCAAGGCCACGGGTTCGGATCCCTATGTAGGGATGGCCGGTTGGCTCACTTGGGAGAGCGTACTGCTGACAACACCAAGTCAAGGGTTAAGATCCCCATGGCCGGTGCACTCACTGGCTGAGCGCGGTGCAGATGACACCAAGCCAAGGGTTACGATCCCCTTACCGGTCATCTTTTTTTTAAACGTTTCTATATTGTCTTTATTCTACTTAAACCAATTACTTATACCAATCAGAATCAGCAGAGCTCATTTTTTAGATGATAGAAACATCATCCAGATTACGAAAGTCACCTTTTCTTTCAAATGCTTATATTCCCTGATGTGGGAAAAATATTTTAAAAGACAATTTACTTTTTTAAAAAATTAAAGACCATTACTATTATGGCAATGCCTTGCTGCAAAAAATATAATTTACCCAGAATCACTGGGGCAAATTAGGAGAATTATGAACCTAGGAATTTGAAGGAAAACTCCTTTTTGTGTGTGTGTGTGTACTTCATTTTCATTTGCAGAGTGTACAACACTTAACATTTGAAGAAAGCAGTGTTAGTTTAATGGCGGACAACACTCAGTAAAAAGAATATGAACTATTAAATTTGTTAGATCTATGTTTCAATCAGAGATTTGCCATTAACAAGTTACAGTACATTGTAAAATTATTTTATTTGAAGGATAACACTTTTTAACTGCTTCCTTCCTACTTTCCTCTACCTGTCTGACCTCCAAGTCTTTATGTTACATATTTATGTGCCCTACTCACGTTCTAGCTCAGACCATGCAAGAACAAAAATACAAGGTGCCCGTTTGAGTTACATTTGAGAAGTAATTAAATAAATTCAAATTCTAGGAGCTATGCTTTTGTTCCCATTCTCTGTTCTGTTAACAGTGTGCTGGCCTAGTGCTAAAAGCCAAGAAATTCTGACCTAACAATTATGTTGTATCTTGTAGAGCAGTCAACTTGTAATATTATTTTTCTTGAGTTTTGTCTTTTTCTGTGTGGCAGTGGTGAAATAGGGCCTTCTAAACTTCTGGAGAAGTGAAAGATCTGAATTTGGAGAGGACATGGGGAAGAATCAATCTTCAGCAGATAATCTTTAAGTGCAGACCCAGGAATATCAGATCTGAAGTGGCACCATCTTTTCTGTCTTCCTGACAAACTTCATCAACCCCAAAAGTTCCAGTTGAAAAGATCCAAGAAAACTCAGTAAAGATCACTTTGGAATCACTTTGTTGTAACAAAATTGATTCATAGTGACTCTCCTAGTATTTGTGGAAAATCTGCTAAAGAAAAATAACTAGAAAATTCATATGACATCAGTGGTTAAAGCTACACTAAAATGAAACTTCACATGCTAATTATCTCCAATAGTTCTTTCTAAAATAAAAGGGCTTGCTAGGCTACTGTAAATACATTACAAAGAGAGATAATCACATACCTGTATAAACATATATAATTCTAAACTTAAAATAACCAGAATTATAGCTTACAGATTATGAAATGTAGTTAGGCAGTTTACAAAGTTACACCCAAAAATCTGTAGAGTAGAAGTAAAAAGAAGTGGGTACACAGAAAAAAATCTTCAAGATCACATATATAATTCTAAACTTAAAATAACCAGAATTATAGCTTACAGATTATGAAATGTAGTTAGGCAGTTTACAAAGTTACAACCAAAAATCTGTAGAGTAGAAGTAAAAAGAAGTGGGTACACAGAAAAAAATCTTCAAGATCAACATTTTAACAAAATAGTCTAGTTATTACTCACTGTAAAATAACACTTGCCCTTCCTCCTTTCTCGCTTTATATACCAGTCACTTATTAATATTAATGAGGCTCCCTTTTATGTATAACTTGAAGGATGAACAGAAGTGGTATTACTCCAATAGCGGTAGATTTGCACAAATCAAAGACACATTATTTTCTTCTGAACTTAATAATGTAACCTAATAAGGCAGAATTAATTTCTGTTAAACATTTATTCTCCATATTAATGTACAATGCCATACTTCTCAGCTTCAGATTTTAAGATAAAATTTAGCTTTTTAAATAGAAGTACTTAACCTATTGAATGAAATAACAGTTAACATGTTTAAAAGAACTTTTCACAGAGAAATGAAATGTTTGGTGAGATTTTAATCTGGCTAAAAATGCTTTTATATATAGACACATTTCTTAACTATATGAATCTTATAACCATTTTATTTCCTTACTGTGAATATACCTGTAGTTTCACCTTTCGTTAACTATGTACCCAATTCCTTATTATTATTTTGTTTCTTGTGCAGTATCATGTTATATATTTTCAGAAATGCTTACTTCACTTTTATGCCTATTTCTTCAAATATTTTAATAAGGAGTTGCAGAGATTTAACTTAAAGTATACTTAGTAGTATATGCAAGAGTTGTCATTTAAAGACCCGAGCTATAAAGTAGGATAACTCGAATATTCATTCTAATAATTAGACTAAGTGAAAATCAAAGAGTTAATTACAATGTGATAGTTGGTACAGAGGGGAGAAGGGAGAAGAGAAATCCACTAAAGAGTTCAAATACATATGAATTCAGTTGCTTTAATAAAAATAAATAAGTCTAGAGAAGTGTTAGAATCTAAAAAACACAGGAGTTAATCTCTTAGGAACAGGAAGTAGCATATAGAACTGCAGACTTCTAAAATAAATAGAAAACAAAAAAGATAAAAGAATATTACCAATAGTTAAAGATGCCAGATCAATATAGTAATGACTTAACAAATAATTTTTGATTTGGTGGAATTAGATTTACTAAAGAAAAATGTCTTAAATTTTGAATGTACTAACTACAAATGTAATAAGTTACAATAATAAATGATATACATTCTATAATGTGATTATTTTCTGTATATTAGTATAAAGTGGAATTACTGGATTACATAAAATACTTTTGTTATTTTTTTAATCCATTGCTTTTACCTAATAAAATTTCCTCCTCTATGTTCAGAAGTTAAACTGTCTGTATATCCATTTATTTATACTGTATTTTTTTCAAACTGGCTCTTTTACAAAATTATTAGTCTGAAAAGTTATCAACTTCTCCCATCCTCTAATATCATAATAATAAAGTATCTGAATAGCTAATTATGGTGTTCCTGAGTAGCTTAAGAAGTGCACAAAGAGAATTAGCTAACATTCTTGTTGCCAAATCCTGATTTCTTTCATTATAGAAGAATGTTTGGAAAAGTACTATCTCTTGGCAAACATAGATAGCAACAAATTAATTGAGTTTCCTCATAATATAAAAAGATTTATAAAAATCCACTGATGGCATATTTAGCTCTTTCAGAGGGTTAATTCATTTCTCAAAATAACAATTTACTACTCAGAGAAATAACTTCTTTGCCAGTACAATTCATTCTGTTTATTTTCAGTTTAAGAATTTAATTATTAACAATAATGGCATATTGAGTCTGATTATCCAAGTACAGGACAGTCTCACTTCTTCCAGATCATTTCAGACTATTCCACAAGGGTCCATCCTTAAGGTTAGTGAAAAATGAAGTACGCACAATATGTCTATTGTTGTCACATATTCACTTCTCTTCTGGAAAATCCTCCCTCCAGGTTCAGGTCTCTTACCCTTCCATACCAGGTGTAGTAAAGTCCTACCCCAGACTCCTGTGTATCTACAATTTAGCTGCAATTTACAGACTGGGTTTTTTAAGACTCAAAGAAACAAATGGTGATTTTTTTCATGTGGTGACAGGTGACTAGAGAAATATTTTAGGATAGGGTGATTTGAAAGAATTATAACATGGTAGTATAAAGATCTTAAATATAATAATTAGTTGAACTCCAGTTACCTCTAAGTTCCTCAAATTATAAGCTCTACCTTTTCTTTAAGCCAACATTGCCTTCTCAAAACAGTCCACAACCCTTATGACGGTTGTGCCTGGTTGGAGATTGAGAGTGTTCCAGGAAAATCCACAAGTTTTTTTTTCCCTAGTAATTCTGTGAAAATTTATTCTTGCTCAGTCAGTCTCCTTAGGGTAGATTAAATACCCATGCACGTAGTTGTAGACCTCATCTTATTAACCTTTGTACCTCCAGTACAAATATTTTTAAGATGTGATTTTGTTTCAACTTTTGGTCTCTGCAGTGTCATTCGGTATAGAAATATAAGAGGTAGGCAAAGGACCTTCCTCTTATGCAGGAAAAAAATGAAATTATTTTCAGGTTTTTTGTTAAATAATGTTCCTCAGGTCACTTTTAATAAACACTGAGCTAGTGAATTACTCCTGCATTCCAGGTACTCCTCTGGGTGCTAGAAACTAATTAGAGAGGATTTGACATATATTAAAGCTCTTGTTTTTTCTACCATTTAATCTTTGTGGAACTGAAGTCTTTAAATTTTAAAAATATTCTGAAATACCCTCATATTTATAGTTTACCAAACAAATTTCACTTGTTAAAAGTCAGTAGTAATTTCTATGTACGTAATAGGACTAATGAACTTCGTTTCAACTCAATGTTAACAGTCAAGTTTTTTAAATCAATTGTAAAAATACAATAAGGAAACTTAGAAAAATTACTAATAATCCTACCATCTAGAGACAACCAATTTTGATGCATTTTACATATATATGATTATCCTCCATATAGGATGAGACACCAAAGTCTTGTATCTTCTTTTTTGACTTAATTATATCAAGAACGTGTTCCTGTGTCAAAAATCTTGTCAACAATTTTTATGCCTGTATAATAATTCATCATATGCATGTACTATTATGTCATTATTCTCTTATTGTTGAATATTTAAGCCATTTCCTTTTTATTGTTGTTAACATAATACTGCCTACATTTTCCATTACTGTATTTCCTTTTGATAAATCCCACAAAGAGTAATACTAAATGAAAGATATGATCATATTCGAGGTAAAGAAAAAATATTGTCACACTGCCCTCCAGAAAGATTGTATTACTTTATGTTCCCACTGATAGTGTTTACTTGTTTTGCCACACCATTGATGGCAATGATGGATATTATTTGATCATAAGTTTGCTAATTTGGTCACTTTTAATAGACTATGCTTTTAAATGAATTCTGAGCCACCATCATTAAAGAGAAAACAAAATTTTTAAAAAATCAATACAAATAAGGAAAATGTAAAAATCCCAAGAACAGTCAGTATGTGATAAAGCTCTATGACTGCAAAATTTTCTTTCATGTAAAATCAAAATGCAAATACTGTGTCTTTTTGGGTAAAGCTCAGGATGCCATTTAAAGTATGAAACCTGAAACATCAATTTACTAGGTGAAAAGTTAGAGCAGAAAAATATATAAATAATTAATGAAAATACAACTCTAATTGCTACTGCGATTTCAGAAGGCTGTGTTAAAAGATGAATGTGGTGAACAGATTGCAAGATTTGTTTGTAAGAACTGTACACAGAGACAGGACATAGTTACTATGCAAAAGAGCCTCTCCCCTCTGAAGCTCTAATTTTAGTGTTTGTGTGAGAGAACCCTGGCCTGCTTGCTTTTTTGCAATCTTACTTTGCTTGAGGTACTTACTGAATACAAGAGATCTGAAGAGTTTGTGTTTCTCACAGTTCTTTTAGTTGAGCTGGGAACCTATCTCTAAATCACATATCATCAGTTCTACAAAGAATTTATATTGCTATCCAGCCCACTAACTCCCTTTTCACTAAATAACAAAACGAAACAAAACAAGTACATAAAAGACAAGAATTTCCAAGGATAAAATCAGGAGATCTGTACACACAATTTATGACAGCGTCACTTAGAAACGTTTTGGTTTTATCCTTGTTTTCCTTATATTTTCTTTCAAAAGGTTTCCTCTTTCAAAATGTTTTCTTCAACTTCATGGAAAAGAGAATGGGAATTGTGGTTAAAACCAGGACTATTTAACCGATGACATTAACGAATTATTAGCAAATGTGTTTTTAAAAACTGGAAATTCCAGGGGCTGGCCCGTGGTTCACAGGGGAGAGTGTGGTGCGGATAACACCAAGGCCACGGGTTCGGATCCCTATATAGGGATAGCTGGTTAGCTCAATCAGGAGAGCGTGGTGCTGACAACACCAAGTCAAGGATTAAGATCCCCTTACCGGTCATTTAAAAAAAAAAAAAAAAAAAGGAAATTCCATACACAACTAGGTGAGATCCTTAAATGTTCATTGATTGACTTTATATAATTCTGTAAGCATCACTTTCTGGTCACAGATAACTTTCGTGTTTCTCAGACAAAAACTTTTCTCCAGCACTGTCTCACACAACTTTTATAAGGGCTACATACTACTAGCTACTTCACAGGATGGTTCTCCCCTCCCGTAGTCTCCGAAAAAGACCATGGCACAGAAATGTATCCTGTCCACCTGAAGAGACTATTTCTTGCCTGTACCCTTCCCCTTCGGTGACACAGCCCATACTACAACCTATGTAAACAATGGCTTTCTTACCCTGTTTGCCGGCAAACTTCAGCACCTGGCTCGAGCATGTCATCTCTTCCAGGAAGTCCTCACCAACACACTTTTCCCTCAACCTGGGAGTGCCCCTCCCCTGCGTTCCCATAGCACCTGCCTTCCCCCATTATGTTCACTTCTTTATTAGACTCTACTTCTTAAGGACAGACCATTTCTTTCTTCTTTTTCTTCTTCTTCTTCTTCTTTTTTTTTTTGAAAGATGACTGGTAAGGGGATCTTAACCCTTGACTTGGTGTTGTCAGCACCACGCTCAGCCAGTGAGCTAACCGGCCATCCCTATATGGGATCCGAACCCGTGGCCTTGGTGTTATCCGCACCACACTCTCCCAAGTGAACAACGGGCCGGCCCTTAAGGACAGACCATTTCACCTGTCTTTCTACTCTCACAGTTGGTACCTGTTGAAGCTTGTTGGCTGAACGACTGTCCCCAGCTTCCCCCATGATGTGACGTTATCGCTGCCTTTGTTACAGGTTCTTGTCTTCCTCCAGGAGCCCATTAATAAGAGCCTGCTTCTTCTACCTCCTATTCCCTGGTGTCACATAGTACTTTCCAGACCTCTTCTCTTATTCCCGTTAAACATGGGAGAACGGCTTGCGCTCCTTTTCATCTACCTTCTCTCACTGAAGTTGGATGCCTCCCGCCTAACTTCAGCACAGCTACAGATAATGATCTCGTTCTGTCGAGCTCGGTCACAAACAGGACTAGGTCACAAACACGATCGCGTGTGGCACGCCGGGGGCCAGGGGATCGTGCGGGGAGCGAGCCTGGGTTATTACGGTGCTTCAACACGCGGGTGTTCATTATCTACAGATTTTCTCGTCAACAGCTGAAAGCGGCGATTAAAGCACTTGAAACTGAAAATAAGGAAAGCAGCGTCGAGAACTGAGAGACGAAACCAGTAAGTTTAAAGCAGCAGAGGGCTGGTTCGAACCCTGTACCCGCCACCAAACAACAAGCAGCAGCAAGACAAGCAGGAAAAAGGAGAAGTGAGGTAGACAGAGCTTAAATGTAGGCTCCTGGGAGGACAAGCTGCGGCCACTCCCGGATCCCCATCCCGGGAGCCGCCCCGCGCGCGGCGCGGGAAAACGCTCGGCCTCTCCCGGGGCTCAGGTGTTCCCCGCCCGCCATGCGGTTTTTCTGTAGCGCTCACACCCACTGAGACGCTGCAAAGCACGCGGTGTAAAATTACAGAAGGCAGTCAGCCAAAGGCAAGTCATTTTATTTCTTTTTGTCCCCGCCCAAAGCAGCAGCTCTCATGCCCCAGCCATGCCAACGCCGGGTCCCCTCAGCGCGGACGGAAGAAAAAAATCCATTTCCCGCCGTCTGTTCTCGGGGCAACCAACTCACAAGGAATTCCCCCGCCCCCGCGTGCTGAGTTAGTGGAGACAGCAGGCGCTGAACCGCATTGAAAGTCTTAAGAACTGAGCCAGTAATTTAGGAGGGTCCCCTTGCCCTCCTCCTCTCTGCGCCACGCCTCATCTTTTCCTTCCCCACCCCCACTTGG